TGACCCTGCATGCAGTGATGAGCAGGCATGAAGAAACGAGGAGGCAGGGCTCAGAGCAGTTCCAAAAATCCAGTGATATGATATGTATCAGCTAGCTTTTGTGCATAACAAACCACCCCAAGCTCAGTGGCTTGAAACGACAGCCATTTATTCTTGCTTATGTTACTGCAGGTCAGCTGGGTGGAGGATTGGGTGATCTAGCCTGGCCTGGGCTGGGCTAGGCTTGGCCAGACTTGGCTCCAGGCTGCAGATGGTCTGGGTCAATGTCACATGTTTTTCATCCTCCTTGGACCAGTGGGCCAGCCAGGGTGTGTTCTTCCCATGGTGATGGCAAAAGAACAAGGAGTCAAAACCAGCTATTCATGCACATTGCCTGCCTCTGTTCGCACCAAGTCTGCTAACATCCCATTCACCAAAGCAAGTCACACAGCTCAGCCCAGAGTCAATGGTTGGGGAAGTATATTTCACCCAACATATGGCCATAGTGACAGTAAGAATGTATGATACTATTACAGGAAAGTGAAGAATTGGGGTGTATACATGTAGTGTGGGTAGGAGCACTTGGCAAAGGATAGGGCTCTTCTTATTAGTCACCCAGTTTACGTCAGCTGGATTAACTAGCTCCTACCTGGTACTTACAAGCTGCAAATGGAATGTTGCAAGGGAACATTAGAGAGCCTGCCTAGAGAGCAAAGCCAGTCCTGTTCAGATGGAAAAGGCAGCCATTACATAAGGAGACTAGAAGGCCATTGGCTGAAAAACAGCAATGCTACTGCTTGGCATTCTACCATTAGTCCTTCATTCCTCTCAGAAGGTTTGGGTGATGGTAAGATGGGGACACAAGTCAAGGATTGCCAAAGCAGCATCGTAAATGAGAGGTGAGGAACAGGGAGTAGGTGTGGGATGGGTCTGGGTCTTGGGTCCTCTATTGCCTTGCAAAGGAAGAAGCCTTGCTTCTCTGATGGAGAAACTGAGGCCTGAATGATTAAGGAGCAGGTCCTGGGCCCATCACTACATTAAGGGCTGCAAGCCACCTAGGCTAGTGATCACCCCCACCAGAATGGAATCAGGGAAGGTTGTGAGTTCAGTTTTGAGAGCAGGCCTCTCCCAGGCATCTGTACCTTCACTCACCAGTGAGGCCTCAACGTTTCCAGCTACGATAGCTCACAGGGTGGAAACCCAGATGCCGGTAGGGGCTGGGGAGGCAGGTGAAGAGGTGAAGCACAGCAAGGGGCAGTGAGATCTGGAGAGTACATATGCAGCTGAAGCGGGCAATTGACATTTCCAGTGGGTTACCTCCACAGGGGAATGTGGCCTTGGTGTTGCTGGGTCTTCCAGCTTCTCAAGATAATCTGGAAATCTGGTTATTAAAGTAAAAGTTTAAAAAATTACAAACATGGCAGCCAAAAGAAAACATGTCTATGGATCTAACTGTGCCTTTGGGTCACTGGTTTGTAACCTCTACAAAGATTCCCTGGACCACATTATGTGCCAAGCAGCCCAATAATCACCTTTAAAATTATTTTTTGTCCCCCAAACCAATTCCACCCACTTAAGGGAGCTTTGAGGGGGTTCTTGCTGCAATGCTTGGAGCCTCAGCAGCTGCCTCTGCTTTTAGAGATCATGTTTGATTTTATTCATTCAACCAGTATTTTTTGAGCTGAGCTCAACACTAGAGTTACAATAGTAAACAGGACAGACATGATCTATGCTTTTAAAAACTCAACAAGAATTCAGCAGCATGTACAACAGATGTATAACCACACTAATAAAAACAAAATAACTGACACATGCCAAGAATAAAAGCAGAAGGTGTGAAGGACTGAACTATAGCAAGAGAGTCAGATTCAACCTGGGAGAATGGTCAGAGGAGGCCTAGGGATACCCAGGTGAAGAGAGCAATAGAGCCTCTGGGCCAGGGAAGCCATGTGCACAGGGCCATGCAGAGCTAAGGAGTTTATGGAGGAACTTAGTGAAGGGCAGGAAGTCTGGGAAAAAGGCAGGAGAGAGAACCTCTAAACTGTGGGCAAGGACCTGGCTACCACACCTTGGAGGGTGAGGGAGGAACCTGATCTTATTTAAGTGTCTTAAAGGTCACTCTGGTACTGTGTGTGGAGGACCTGTGGAGGAAACATGAATGACTGAGAAGAGACAGAGACAATAGCCCAGATCAGAGAGGTTGAAGGACGGGACCATGATGAGTGCTGCGTAGAAGCAGAAAAGTGGTCAAAAGATCTATTTGGAGATAGAGCCAAATGGACACATGATTACTCTATATGACTGCTGGGGATAAGGCAAGAATTACTTGCTGCTTCTGGCAGTTTGACTGGATCTGGGCTGAGAATGATAATTTGCTCTTCATTTCTTAACCACTGTGGATCACTCCTCCTTTCTGAGCTAAGCCCTCTGGCTCTGATACGCCCACAAACCTCATCAAATATGGCTCGGTGTCTTCAGGCTAACAGTTGCCTTTCTGAATTTGGTTCTTTTAACTAAGTGGTTTTCAAGCACTTAACACCTCCTACCTTTGGTCTGAGTTCTGGGTGGGCAAAGGACATACCAGAGATTCTCCATGTGTGTTTTCTAAGAGAGTAATGAAAGCTATTTTATTAAGTGCCTGGCAAAGTTCTAAGTGTTTTGCATATAGTTAACAAATTTAATTGATTAATCTCATTTTGAAGATGAGAAGATTGAGTCACAGAGAGGTTAAGTAACTTGCTCTAGGTTGTACATGGAATAAATGTCAGTGCAGAGAAATAAATAGTCTATTCTAAAATCTACAAACTTAAGTTCTACTCTATGTGTGTGAATACAACACAGGGCTCTGAGACAGAAGGGTGTCATGTGTATGCCCCATTCTGCATTTCTGTAAAAGACTCATGCAGTGATTTTGCCCACATTATTCCTATTAGTCCACCCAGCAAATGCTACCAGAAGGGATTTGTCTTGAATATGTCCATCTTGGTGTCTGCATGGCCAGAAGCCTCTAGCCAGTTGTCTTCTGCCCTAATCCCTGATCAAAAAAACGGGAGTGGCTGCTAATTGGATAAAAGATCAGCCCTTGATCCAGGAGAGGTCTGTTTAAAGGGTGCCAAGAACCCTGAGGAGACCAGAAATTAAGGGCTACTCCACCAAGAGGTATGGTCATGATTTAATCCCATAGAAGCTTCTCTGTAGGACTTTGCTGGAGGATACAAATACAATTGGCCCATAAACAGCAAGAGACCAGCAGAGTAGATAAGTAGAGTCTAGTAAGGAAGATGGACTACATGGCAGGCAACGACAAATACAGAGATGCCATGGCCAGACTTCCATGCCTGAGTTTCCCACCTCAAACGTTGCCTCTGGATAGCAATGATTATTTTTAGGGATGCTTCTCGGGATATTATAAATACCTCTGGAGGCACTTTCCTGATGAGGAGGCTGTAGGGCAACTGGGCTGCCTGAGTGGCTGACAGAGACTGGCCAGCTGCTCTCAATTTGCATTTCCAGGGGCACTGATGCAAGTGAAACACCAGACACACAGGCAGAAGAGTCCCAGTTTCCTGATTGCAGCCTACTGTGGCAGAAGGGTCTGTTTTGCTATTCTATCAGAGTAGGGATGGTTGGCACATATTCCCCAATTCCTCAAGGCCCCAAGTGCCGTCTTTCCTTGGGACAGTTTATTTTTGACAATTGTTTGTGTCCTTGGTCATTGCTTTGCTTCCTCTTTTAGATTCTTAAATTTGTAAGGTACAAACTTCTACAAGTGAGTCTAGAACAGTGTTTCCTAAAATGTGTTATGACATTCGTACTATGACATCACCGCTTTCCATTCTCTGCCTCCCTTTTCCCCCAAAGTGTTCCACCTTTAAATAAGTTGAAGACACGTGAGATGAGTCTCTAAGAACAAGGAGCATCATAGCAGACAAAGGCCCAAGGCCTCCAGGAGACATACTTGGCACACAGTGGGTGATGAATACAAATCGTTGTGGAATAGACTGAGCCTGACACTCAATGTTGTAAATGCTTAACTATCACTTTCTAGTTAAGTGGGGAAAAGCTATGGATTTTGGTCTTCAGCAAAAGCACATTTAATGATTAAGCTATAGACATTTTTTCAGGCTCATTTCCTTTGTAATTGAGAAACCTGCAATTTGGAAGGGCCATCGAGGACCCCTACACAAAACTTACTGACCTGTTTCTGACTTCACTGGAGCATGTGGAGTTGATGTTGCCAAAGGCCAGTTTAGATTAAACTGGGCGGAGGCCCTGGCACAAACATGTCTGTCTACTTTTGTGGAAAGTGAGCAGATGGAGTGAGGCGTATGCTTTCTGGGCAGTCATTAATAAGCCACTTAGAAACCATATCAATTCACTCTGCAAAGAATTAATTCTTTGCAAGAACACAGGATGCCATCTAATACTTGTCAGTACTCACTATGCACCAGCACTGTGCTGGGTGTTTTACACAACTTATCTCATTGAATCCTTCAATGATTCTCTGGGGAGGGAGAGTATTATCTTGATGTTACTTATGAAAAAACTGCAGCTTGAATAATTAAAGTGACTGGCCAGGGGTGTCACATTGAGAAGTGTTTGAGGGCAGATCCAAACACCCATCATATGATTATACAGTTTCTCCCCATGATATGGGGAAATGAAGATTGCCAAAGATAGGCCTCTGACCCACCCTTACTTCAAGATATGGGCCAGGTGTACAGTTCCCCTGCCTCTGACAAATCATCCTGTGTCTTGGCAACTCAGGGTGAAGATTCCAACTTCCCACTCACACATAGTATCTCCTTATGACAAAAAAATTTATCATTTTCTCTTCAGTGCAATTCTGTGGACTTTCACCTTGACCTGTGAGAATGTTCCGTACCCCAGATCCCCTCTTACCATCAAAAGATCAACTTCCCCAACTGTGGCTTATTGAATGTTTTCTTGGCATTTAGTAAAGAATGTAGAAACTATTAGGACCCCTTGCTCAGCTCTCTTTCATTGATCGCGTCCTGAAGGTGAGTGGTGTACCTTTATATTTAGCATGCTATTAAAGCTAATTATACCTTTGAATCAAAGGAGATGGCTCAAATGAGAAATGATTAAGTGCAGCAGAGTCTGATTTTCTAGAGAGATTAGAACCAAAAGAAACATAAGTGTAAAACTAGGATTCTTATACCTTGAGAGATGCAGGACCAGGGCTCAGCGAGGTAAAAAGATGGAACAGGGTAAAGCTGGCTTCTGTCAGAGCTGCAGCTGTGAGTGCTGTCCTTGGTGCTGAAGCATCTTTTCCAGAGTGATGAGTCAGGGCTCAGAAAACCATGTTATGGCTTAGCATCTTGGTTACGTTAGGTGATTATTATATCTCTTCTAAAGTCACAGGCTCCTCCTCCTCAGAAGAAGTTAAGTTAGTTTCTCCTGGTCTCACTACATTATGCCAGCATCCATCAGCTTGACAGGATGGCAGAAACAAGGAGGCCCTAGTTGAGTCTAAGGCTCTATGGGACCTCTTCCCATCAGTAAACTACCTCCATACTTCCAATATGGACTCATAATCTATAAAAAGCATAACCAGGTTAGGAGATGCAGACTCTGGGACATGGTTTACTGGATTAATATTTTTCTGATCTGTTTTAAAATGCAGAAAACTTGATTGAAAGTCTTAAGTGGATTCCCAAGATATACAATAGATTAAAATTATCTGCTTTGGTTGGAGTATAGGAAGTGTTTGTAACTCCAGTCACATAGTCTTTCCCCAGGAACCCCTCAAGAGTCCATGTGAATATCCTAGGGACCAATGGTGCAAGCCTGAAAGCCACTAATTTTAGTTCAACTATTTTCTGGCCTTTGACTCCTTGCTTGATTCCTCTTTATCATTGGTAGCCAAGCGGGACACCTGCAGGAAGCTTTACTTGACCCCTATGTCAAGTTAGGAGCTGTCCTCTCCCTGCCCTGTACACCTTTTTGTCACTATGCTGATCACTCTGTTGGTTAATTTTGTGTCTCCTTCAGTAAGACCCATATTGAGGAGCAGAATAATATGCCCAGAACATAGTAAGTATGCAATGAATACTAGAAAGTTTATGTTTAATAGACTCCCTTTCAGAGCAAAGTAGAAACTCATCTATGGCATTTTCAACACCTCCAGGAACTAGGAACTCACTCCAAATGGAGGTAGTCCATTCCACATTAAGGCTACTGTGATAGTAAGAGGCCTCTTCTTTATTTTGAGTCAAAATATAACTCTATGTAGATCCAGCTTTTTAAGCTATATAGAACAATACTTACTAATTCTCTACAATTGGACCTTCAAGTAATTGAGGAGTGATATCACATCCCTCATTCTTGAGCTTAATTCTGGCTATTCCTTGTGGTATTTTGAGGTTTTTTTTTTGTTGTTTTTTTTTTTTACCTGCTTATTTGTTGTTTTCTTCTGCACGCAAAAATGTTTGCTATATTCTTCTTAAAGTCTAAGTTGGATTTTGAAGGTTGCATAAACACTTCTCATTTATTCCTCTTAGCCTGCTTAGTTTGATTCTTTAGTTCATACCATTGCTCCTGCCTGGAATCTCTCCTAAGCTTTCTTGTCCATACTTTTAGGATCCTTCTCTACCCAACATTGGGGAGCTTCTAAACTCAGAGGTCAAGAGATATCCCACAAATCTTCACATCTTTTAGCAGAGTGGATGTTGGTGTGAAGCTGATATTTTTTAAAAGGTCACTTTGGGCTAGAATTAAAAAGCAGTATCCACAAGGAATTTTGTCTATTTTGTTAACTGCTGTATCCCCAGTACATGAAAGAATATTTGAAATATCTTAAGTGCTTAGTAAATATTCACTGAATAATTGAAACATGCTAGACGAATGCTGGCATTTTCTGGACTTTAAACGATAGAGATGATGCCAAAACCCATGTCAGAATAAAAAAACTGACTACCACTTGAGGGTCCTCATACTTCAATATGCAATGTAGGACTCCTTCCACCTCCTATGTATGTCTTCAGGTAAGGAGATAACTTTAGATAAATATCTGACATGGTTAATTTATTTTTAGAAAATGGTGCCTAACAACACAGGAAAGCCAAGTGAATCCTGATGATAGTAAATAAAATGAGTAGAAATGCTGATAAAAGTACCAAAAATAATTTATTTTTGTTGAGGGCTCACTATGCACTCAGAACTTCACACATATTATCTCACTTGAATCTCACAACACCTCTATAGTTTATATAACATAGTTCACAAGTTCACTGTCCATCTATGGCAGGGATTCTCTCACTGCTTCCTGCACTGTAAGCTTCCTGAGGGCAGTGTCTGACCCTGGCCTTGGCTGAGTCATTGCTGAATCTATGAACAAAGCAGAGCTTGGGAAACATTCACCTGCCTGAGAGAAAAACGAATGACGAGAGCAGGGGCAGCCAGAGATGGGTGTCAGCTGAGAAGCTGTTCTTACTCCTGGCAATGGGGATGATGTAACATGGCAGCATGATTAGAAAAAAATAAACATCTATACATATGTGTGTGTATATACATATACATACACACTTATGTAAATATACACACATAGGCATATATTTAATAATAAATGCAAATCTGTTCTCTTAATGCCAGTTTTAAATAAATTAAAATTTAATGATTCAAAAGCTAGAGATTCTGTTTTTAATTTTTAATTTTAAGTCAGCATTACTGGGGCATAATTTAATACAGTAAAATTTGCCCCATTAAAGTGTATAGTAATGAATTTAGATAATTGCATATCATCCTAGCCATCACTGTGATCAATATATAGAACAGTTCCATCATCCAAAAAAGGTCCCACATTCCCCTTTGCATCCAATTTCCTCCCCCCACCTTCAGCCTCTAGAAATGACTGACCTGAATTCTGTCTCTATAAATCTTTTTCAAAATATCATATAAATGAAATAATAGGGCATGGACCCCTTTGTGCTGACTCCTTTCACTTAGCATAATGTTTTTGAGGCTATCCATGTTGTTGCATGTAGGCTTTTCTTTTTTTAACTGCTGCCTCTTCTATTTTCTGGAACAGTTTATGTAATTGATATTATTTTATCCTAACATGTTTGGTAGAACTCTCCAGTGAAGCCATCTGGGCCAGAAAAGTCTATTTTACAGAACAACAATTCACTGGATATTTTAGATCCTTTGATATTGGGTGCAGGAATCACTCCTCCTTTCTCTCCTCACCAGAGGGAGTGAGGTGCCCACATATCCCTCGAGGACTCACTTGGCTGCTGCTGGGTGGGTTGTAGATCAGAGCGTGGAAGGTGGGGCAGGGGAAGAGGGAAGGACTGGGATTCAGCAATGACTCTGGGAAGAAACCAGTGGGAGGAGTGAAATGTCAAAGAAATAGTATTTAGGGCTTCCAGACCAGAGTGCAAGAAACAGGAAAACAGCAATGCCTCGATCCTCCTTACAGCCTATTTATTAAGGAGAAAATCGCATCATCAAGGTTGCATTGCTGTTTGTTTGCTATTTCCATCCTCCCTAGAAAGAGAGAAAAAGCAAGCTTCAGAAAGAGACTGCTTGTCAGGAGATTTCCTGCCTCATGTCCAGACAAAAGTGATTTGGACAAGCTTTAGATAAATATCTGATTGCTTTTACAGCCTTGGTGAGGCAAAACTTCCAGATGCTTTGAAGTATTCCTAGTGCTACTGAAAATTCTCAGAATTTAACACCCCAGGATCTTCCCAGTAGGAACAGTATCAGTTTGATCATCCCCAGGTTTACGTCCACAGGAAAAATCTCCCCAGTTACTTTCAGGCAAGCATGCTGAGATCCAGGCTGTAAAGCCTCTCTACAGCTAAAGACCTAGAACACATGAGTTTTGAAAGGACTCCCTACTAGAGGGATCTCCCAATAATATACGTTGTTGATATAAACTAAAGCATGGCCGTCACTGGCATTCCCATTATCATATACTACCTCAGAAGGCTGGGACATTTAAACACATCTGCAAAGATGATGCTAGACCTAAAGAAAGACCACGAGGGAAAGTGAGATACAGGTGATTCCAGGTGCAAAGAGCAGGCGTCCCTAGAGGCTTTGCCAGGGAGCTTGGCCACCCTTTGTCTTTATACTCATTCCTCATTTTAGTGTCCCACACCCCATGTCCCACCATAAGCCTCACACACACTTCACCTTCCCAGCTCTTCAGTTAAGTTTTTGGGTTTGTTTTTTTGGGGGTATTCACCTTAAATAAGTTGCTCACTTGCTCATTTGTTTGACAAACATTTGTGGAGCAACCTCTATTTGTCTAATCCATGCTCAGTTAGGAGTCCCGTCTTTGTGCTCCCAGAGCATTGACTGATTGATACCTGCAGTATAATGCTCGACCCCGGGTACCCTTGCCTGGCTGGTGGGCAAACTAATTTTTTTTTTTTTGAGACAGAGTCTCTGTTGTCCAGGCTGGAGTGCAGTGGTGTGATCTCGGCTCACTGCAGCCTCCGCCTTATGGGTTCAAGCAATTCTCCTGCCTTAGCCTCTTGAGTAGCTGGTACTACAGGCATGTGCCACCACACCTCGCTAATTTTTGTATTTTTAGTAGAGGTGGGGTTTCACCATGTTGGCCAGGATGGTCTCAATCTCCTGACCTTGTGATCTGCCTGCCTAGGCCTCCCAAAGTGCTGGGATTATAGGCGTGAGCCACTGCACCCGACCCAAATTATTAATGATAATAAAAAATATACACTTCACACTCATTAGGATGTCTATTATAAACAAAACAAAGCAGAGCCCCCAAATCAGAAAATAACCAATGTTGGCAAATGTGTGGAGATACAGGAACCTTGTGCATCACTGAGGGGAATGTAGAATGGTGCAGCAGCTGTGGAAAATGGGATGGCAGCTCCTCAGAAAAGTAAAAATAGATTTACCATGTGATCTAGCAATTCCACTTCTGGGCATATGCCCAGAAGAATCAAATGTAGAGACTTGAACAAATATTTGTCTAACCACATTCATAGCAGCATTTTTCACAACAGCCCAAAAGTGGAAGCAACCCAAGTCTTCACCCGTGGATGATAGATAAACAATATGTGGTATAGACATACAATGAAATATTATTCAGCCTTTAAAAGGAAGGAAATTCAGACACATGCTGCAATGTAGATGAACCTTGAAGACATTACACTAAGTGAAATAAGTTTGCCACAAAAGGACAAATATTGTATGATTCCACTGGTAAAATGTACCTAGAGTAACTGAATTTATAGAGACAGAAAATAGAATGGTGGTTATCAGGGACTGAAATGGGGAATGGGGAGTTTTTATTTAATGGTTAACAGAGTTCAGTTGGGAAAATGAAAATATTTTGAAGATGGCTGGTGGTGATGTTAACACAACCATGTTAATGTACTTACTGCCACTAAACTGCTCACTTCAAATGGTTAAAATGGTAAATTTCATTTTATATATATCTCACTGCAGTAAAAAAGTAATATACTTAACCATCCTTTCCTCCTTAATACAGGATAAAATAAAAGCAGAATTGCCAAGCTGCTTCTAAATGTTTGATGGAAGAACACATGAGATAATATCACTTCTTTGACTGTAAACTCTGTACAAATGTAAGGAAATACAATAATTTCCTGAAGAATTGGAAGTCTGTAGTAATTAAGATTTTTGGGCTATGATTAATGGAAAAGTAAACAAAACCTCATTTATACAATAAAGGAAATTTCCTGGATTACATAAGTAAAAATGTTTAGTGGTAAATGCAGTTCACCAGGACTCTGATTCAGCATATTTGTAATATCTTTTCTACTCTGCCATTCATTGAGTGTCTTAGCTCTGCTAAGCACCGTCATTTACCAAAATGACGGATGCAGCAAACCTCACGTCCACACATCATGTTTTCCAAAGATAGAGTTTCTCATCCCCCAGCAACTGGAGGCTTTTCCTTGGATTTTCTTTAATTGGGCCAACTTAGGACTCAGCTGATTGACTCAAGTGAATTGGGAACTAACATGCAAAAAGTATAAGGTCAATTCACTCTCCTGTGGCTAACCTCAAGTCAAATCCACATCTGGAGGCTTAATTAGATGAGCCTTTTTCTTCCTTTATTTAAGCCACTATGAGTTGGGTTTTTTTTTTTCTTTTTCAACCAAAAAATTCCTGAATGTTCCACATCCTTTTCACAGAAATAGAAAGGAAGGAGAGGAACAAAGGATATGAATAAAATTAAATTTTTAGGTGAATGGTAGAAAGCAGGATTGTAACCCTCTGGATTTTAGGTTGAGTAAAAGGGATTGTCAGGTCATCTGATAACAAAGGAGATGTTGGTGGGAGACAGAGCACTGAGTTTCAGAGAGTGAAAAATTTTGAAATACATACCATGAAAACTAATAAAGAAAGCTGTCTAGGGAAACTAGGATTTCCAGGCTACTTTAGTGTTAAGAGGAAATAATTTTGTAGACCATGGATGAGAACTCTTCTAAGAAGAAATGCATGTGCTAGTTCCTAAATCATATTCAAATGGTGAGTGTAGAACAGAGGTATACCAGGCATCATTCTGAACATGGCTAAAAAAACAGAAAAAAAAATCCAACGTCCTGAAAGTCATCAAGTAAATGATATAGATGCCATAGTTAACCAAAAAAAGTTGGATAAAAATAAAATATTTAAAACCACATTTTCTAGTTTTCTTCCTGAAAAATAATGTAGGGACCTGAACATAAAATGTAGGGACTTGAACAAATGTTTGTCTAACCACATTCATAGCAGCATTTTTCACAACAGCCAAAAAGTGGAAGCAACCCAAATGTTCATCCGTGGATGATGGATAAACAATATGTGGTACAGACATACAATGAAATATTATTCAGCCTTAAAAAGGAAGGAAATTCAGAGACATGCTACAATGTGGATGAACCTTGAAGACATTACACTAAGTGAAATAAGTTACAATCGAGGACCAATTAAATAGCAACAAGCACACCTAGAACTCAGATCGTGGCCTTCAAACATCACTTCCAAGTAAAAGGAGTAAGAACTCTTTGGGGAAATGTGTGGTTCTATGCCTGGGCCAAAGAATATACCAGATGGGCCTGAAACATCTTGATACACCAGAAATCAAGGAGTCAGCTAGGGTGGTGTTAAAAGGATTCAGAATGAAACTTAAATAATCACCTACTGTTCAAATAAGAAACAATTGGAGCATTAATAAAAGCAATAACTGCAAAGGATTAAAGGATACCAAATATATATGTAAATCTGCTAATTTGCAATAGTACTAGAATAAAGAAAGACTAAAACAATCCTAAGTGGTCAATTTTAGAGGATGCTATGTATAGTGACTTCAAGATAGTTGTAAACTTACCATTCCTCCAGAAAGCTGGAGGCTCTCTGTCCTTTCCTTGGATCTGGGCAGGCTCTGTACTTGTGTTCACCAATGGAATTTGATGGAGATGCTGTGTAATCTCTGAGGCAGAGACTTATGAACTCTGCATATATCACAACTTGCTCTTAGAACCTAGCTATTATGTCGAAAGCCTGATACCTGGAGATTACAGTGCTGTGAGGAAGCCTGAAATAGCCACATGGAGAGAAAGCTTCCCAGCATGCCCCAGCTATTCCAGCCATCCCCACTGAGGTGCCAGACAAATGGGTAAAGAAGCCATCATGGATGCTCCAGCCCCAGCAGACATAACATGCAGTAGAAGAGCCACCCAACTGAGCCCATCCAGATTGCAGAATTGTGAGGACTAATAAATTCTTGTTGGTTTTTAACTACTAAGTTATAGGGTTGTTCATTACCTGGCAAAAGATAACTAAAGCCCTTGGGAACTACCTCATTATTTGCCATTAGTTTTAAAATAAGGGCCAGGTATAGTGGCTCATACCTGTAATCCCAGCACCTTGGAAGGCTGAAGCAGGAGGGTTACTTGTGCCCAGGAGTTAGAGACTAGCCTGGGCCACATAGTAGGACCCCATTTCTACAAAACTTTTTGAAAATTAGATGGGCATTGTGGTGCATACCTGTGATCCCAGCCACTTGGAAGGGTGAGGATAGAGAATCACTTGAGCTCAGGAGGTCAAGGATGCAGAAAGCCATGATTACACCATTGTATTCCAGCCAGGGTGACAGATTGAAAACCTGTCTCAAAAAAAATAATAAAATAAAATCTGAATCTGATTAAGCCACTCGATATAATAATCAACTTATAGGACATAAAAATAATAGAGAAATATTTTAAACTATACCACATAAGTAAAATGAGCAAAATCTAGACCACAGCCAATTCTATGGAAAAATGACCCAGTTTTTTTGTTTTGTTTTGGATGATTTCAGGAGGGAAAAATAAACGAAGGAAGCTGTAGATTAAAAAAGATTTTAAGAACATCAACTATAATGCATGTATCTTATTTGGGCCCTGATTCAAATAAATAACATATTAAAATATTATAAAATTTATGAGATAATCTTTAAAACACAGATTAGATATTTGATAATATTAAAGAATTATGGGGTTTTTCAGTCATGATAATGAATATGTTATAAAAACATCCTAGTGTTTTAGAAACTAATGTGAATGTATATATAGATGAAGAAATATAAGGTCTAGGATTTGCCTTCCAAGAAAAAGGGAGAGGAAAATGGTTGGGTTGTGGGTGGGACAGGATTGGCCTTTGGTTGATGATTGTTGGGACTGAATGCTGGCTGGCTGGGAGGAGGAGTTATTCTGTCAACTTTAGTGCATGGTTTAAATTTTCTATACAAAAGCTTTAATAACTCATGAGTAGGCATAACCAGCCTTCACTGTTCTGAAAGCCCACTGTTCTCAAACATCTCACATGCGACATATAATGTTAACCATTTCATATGTACATATATAACATGTTCCTGAGGTCACACTAGCCTGAAGATAAGAATAACAACCACAAAAATGAATTTGTTTGTTCTGTTCCCACCTGCTCTGTAGGAACTTCAGCCCCTTCAGATTCTTCCCAATTTCTTCTTTTCTGCTGTAGCTGTGTTGTCATTTCTTGTGGCTGTCCCCACTGTGCCACCTACTACTGTGTATGTCCATGAGACAGGAGCTTGGCTTTACCTAAAAGACTTTCTCCACAGCCACAGAGGATAGCAGTGCCTCCTGCTACTGCCAAAACCCTGTCATGACTGCATCTTTCTGATGCCTTGTGCTCATGGTGGGCTGAACAAGTTAATAAAAGTAGTTAGGTGCCTGCCCAGCTCACTACAGCTACTTTAATTTCACCATGCAATCTGCCCTAGATAGGTCCCTGGTCACCATGCTGCTGCATTGTGGCCTTCTTCTTGGCTACAGAGAGTGGACCAAGATAGATCGCTTAGCTAACCTGAGCCAAATGCTTAGATGAAAATGGAGGATTGAGAGAAAGAGAGCATCTGTGTGGCTAGAATTATATTTGGGGACCTTGGGCAGCCATTGAACCTACAGCCACATGGATAGAGTAGCTGAAGTGTCCAGTTGTTTGAGGAAGAGTGTCTCCCATGCACTGAGAGAGGCAGAGAAGAGAGATGGAGAGACAGTACTCTTATGCTCCTGATGGTTTCTATTCCTGGTTTAGACCTTTCTGGTCTCCAGCTACATTCCTATCTTGGCTGCTGACAGCCAACTCACATCCTTAAAATAAATTCTCATTTGCTGTTTAATCCAGCCTCAGTGTTGGTTACTTGC